TGATTCCCAGTTGGGAGAAGGTAGGAAATTTTTGAAATTCGCCCCACCCATTCCGCAACCTTTATGGCGTCCATTAGATGGATCCTACCATTCTTTCAGGGGTATCACCAGAGATAGAAGAAATGGTTTTGTTAGTGGTTATGGCTTTGCTGGATGGCTTACACCTAGCAATTGCTCTTAATCTAGAGAAGATAATGGTGGAATCAAATTCCAAACTTCTGATTGATATTCTCAATGGTACTTGTACAGCCCCTTGGAAACTTTGGTTTTGGTTGTCTCAGGTTCAGGAGATTAGGAATAGATTGGAATTCTTTTGTATCCATATTTATAGAAAGGCTAACCAACCGGCAGATCCTCTTGTAAAGCTGGGTTGCTTAGAGTCTCAGAAAACTGTTTATGATTGCACAGATACAATTCCTTCACATGTACAACACTTGATTACAACAGATGGTTTAGGTCTTCCTTTTTTGAGAATTCGTTGATTTTAGGTTGCCTGGAGGCTTAATGTTTATATGAGCTAGGCTCCCATTGTATAGAGTGAGGGGTAAGGTTTCACGTCCCCCCCTCCACAGTTTTCTTCATATTAATAAAATTTCGGTGGCCACCCCTCCACCAAGAGTAAATTTTGGGGTTCAAAAAAAATGAATAAAGTGCATCTTTGATTCATGTTATATTGGTGTGTTTCTGTGTAATACCCTTAAACTGGACACTTATGAGACTCGTGTCAGTTTAGAATCTTCACAACCATTGGATAGATCTAAGGAAATTTATCCTATCAAGACTAACACTAATATGCCGCCAAGTGGGTTGGGGTGGCTTGTCTTAAATGTCAGGGTGAGACTAAAGGCACATGTAGTGTGGGTTTTCTTGAAACCCTGAACCGGACCAAATTCTAGTATTGCCCTAGACCTTGGAGATAGATGGGCAAAACTAGAATGTTACCCCTGACTCCTAGACTCAATTATGGTATTGCACTAAGTGTTAGATTGGACTGTCTTTGATATGCCAATCAATGAGATCCTTAAAGGGGGTCAAAACTTGGGTATGTTGGGGCAGCCCGAGAATTCACCTGAGTGGGTGATCATAATGACAGAATTAGCCCCTTTGTCGGACAAAGTGAATGATCAGGGAATGCACTCTCTCTGATGGAAACCTAAACTGTCAGTAGTTGATTTCAAATTGTTGAGATTTGTTTTTACAAAATATATTTATATAGAGATATACATATATATTATGGTTTCACAAAAATGTTTACAAAAAGGTTTTAATTCCTAGGATCCATGTGAGTAGGGAGTGCAACATTGTACCTTGCAGCCGAGGGAGAGGTCCTTTCTTGTTGGGAAGTGTTTGATCATTATGGGTTGAGAGGTTAAGTGTAAGACCATTTAGGGATAATAAGCCTGATGGGCTAATCTCACATCTGCCCACAGTCCTTGGGCCTTCATAAGATGGCTGGACCTAATGACCATTTAGTGTAAATGTTGGACCCATTAAGAGCCCATACTGATGGACTTAGGGGTTCACTGTATTCAACAGTGAATTCGGCCAAGGCCTTGTAAAAGAGGCTAGGCTGAACCCATGTGGCTTATGTGGAGATCAATGATAGGTCCAATGCCATACAAAGAGAGTCAAGCTAGCCAACATTTAAAGGGAAAGTGAGCTATGTGACTAAATGGCTAAATGGGCCTAAAGCCCATTTCGAACTGGACTTAAGTGAGTTAATTAAAAAAGGGGTGAATTCTGGTTTATAATCTGATTAGGATTAGCTAAAGGATAAGATAAGTCTTATCCATTTAAGAGTTCAGATCCAAATATCAAGTTTGGATCAAGAAACTCTTTCCTAATTGGATTAGGAAGCTGATCTAAAGACGGCTATAAATAGGAGGCGAATTCACCAGTTTCATACACTCAACAATCTACAGAATTCTCCTCCAGTTCTTGCCACCCCTACCCAGTTCAATCTCCTCTTTTGGATCTGATCAAGATAGTTCTTGATATTGTTTCTTGCTAGAAGAAACAATCTAAAGTCATGCTCACCAGCCCCTTGTCTGATTCTTACTGAAGAATTAGGGTTCTTGTTGAAGAACCATCTTGTTGATCCTGCCTCACTATAAGCTGTGTCATCTTCAGCGGAGGCGGGTTTTGGTCATCTCTTTGTGTGTGGACACCTACGTTGGGAGTTACTATTATTCCATATTAGGTATATCCCTACTTCTTCCTTTTGGTTTTAGATCTGGTCCGGTTTTGTTTCAAGAACGAACCTTGAAAAAGCAGTTTTTCTAAATTATGAGAATATGATTCCTACATGGGAGAGAGAAAATTTTTAAAATTTCGCCCAACCACCATGCATGGTTTGGCCATTCATATGGATCTCTGGATCTCTCATCCCTTCATCAAGCAGTTCAGCAAATAATTTGGATGAGCTACCGAGTCTTGACTTTGGAAAGGTATGCACCAGAGTTGTAGTAGAACCAGCTATGGAAAGAACTGCACCTTTGTCAGATATCAATCTATTTACCCATGACACTCTGAAGCCATATTCCAGATAGATACCTCAAGGATTGATGAACCCAGAAATCAGAAATGTTAGCACAGTGTGCTGTTCATCCCAGTTTGGAGATACCTATCAAGGTAAGCTGCCCCGACTCCCCTGTTCTTCTTCTCCCGAGCAGAAAATGGTGCACCTTAGTATCTTCTTAAACTGTTAAAGATTTCGAAAATATTCCAAAAATGACGAGAACACGTAATAGCAATGGCAGACACGTAAGAGAATTAAGTTCTATTCCCGATAATAGGGTGTTGGATAATGTTTCTGTTGTGCTTCAGTCCATGGATTTGAGTGGTCCAGAGGAATGCTCTAAAACGTATCCTTTAATCCTCCAAAACTGTCGGAAGTTTGATAGAGCTGAATTGGGGTTTCAAATTCATGCTCATATGATTGTTTCTGGGGTGGAGCTCTGTGCATTTCTTGGGAGCCAACTGCTTGAATTTTATTGCAAGCTTGGTCGATGACATGAGAAATGTGTTTGATAAAATGTGGGAACGAAATGTTTTCAGCTGACTTCATTGATCGGGTTGTATTGTAGATTAGGTGATTACGAAGAGACAATAAGGTTATTCTTTTTAATAATTGAAGGAGTTCAGCCTGATCGCTACATCTTTCCCAAGATTTTTAAAGCATGCTCTGAGTTGAAGAATTATCAAATGGGGAAGGATGTGCAAGATTACGTCCCCAAAAATTGGGTTTGAGGGGAATCCTTTCGTGATAAAATCTTTTTCGATATGTTCATAAAATGTGGAAAGATTGATTTTACTAGGCGTTTGTTCAATGAGATGGAGTATAAGGATGTTGTGCTAACGTGATGAACAGGATATGCATCGAAAGGGGACTTCAAACAAGTTTTAAAGTGTTTTGAAGAGGCTTCCAATTGCTTCTCAGAGATGCAGACTTTAAAAGACTTTAAGCTCAAGAACTGCATGTTTTCAGGCAGATGGTGGTTGAAGGGGTGAAACCAAACGCAATTACCATTGCTAGCATTGTTTCAGCCTGTACAAATTTTCTTTTGCTTCGATATGGTAAAGAGATCAATGGCTATTGCATAAAAAGGGAGGAATTGGACTCAGATGTACTGGTGGGAAATTTATTGGCAGATTTGTATACTAAATGCCAAGCTTTGGTGGTTGCCAGTAGGATATTCAAAAGAATCAAGCAGAAGGATTTGGTATCTTGGAATGGTCTCATTACCGGTTATACCCAGTATGGAGATGGAAGGATTGCACTTCAGTTCTTTCATAAAATGTACAAAACCACCATGGAGCTTGACACGATTACTATATATTTCTGAGCTCTAGCAGCTTGTGACCAAGTGTACTATTACTGAGGTTTCCCATATATCAAGTATTCATAATGAGAAGTCAAAATACGAGCTTGTAAACTCACAAGGGTGATTGCTTGGGAGTCTGCAATGCGCATAAGATGTTTCTTGGGACCTATCTCCTTTACCAGATGTGATTTCAAGATCTGCCTAGAGAATTTCTTTCCTACATTACGGGTTTGTGCCCCACATCATTCACAGAGACATCAAGGCCAACAGTAGATTGTCGGACAATAGGATGAAGCCGTGAGTTTTAGGTTTGGATTGACATGTTTTATTGGCACTCGTGACTCATGAGAGCCATGTTAGTTACTGTGCTTGTCGGAGCCTTTGTGTGCATACCGCTTGATACAATATGAAAAATCGTGGTGGCCACCGTAAAAAGGGTGTATATTGCTTTGGAGTTGTGATGTTAGAGCTGGTTATAGGGATGTTCATCTTTACTTGTCTACTAAAGGCATAAAGAACAAAGAACAAAGAGGAAATTGTGAGAATGGAATAAAAAATAAAAAGAAAAAACATGACAAAGAGAAGAGGGAATGAATAAAATATGATGAAAAATACAAAATAAAAGAAAAAAAAAGAAGAGGAAATGGTAGAGGAAGTTTTCTAGGTAATAATAATAAAAAATAATAAAAAGCATATATGAAATAAAAAAAAAAGTAAAACATAAAAAATAATAATAAACCAGGATTACATCAAGCAAGTTGGAATAAGAACCAAAAGTAAATACTATATATACATATATATATATATAAATCATTAAAAAAACAAACAAAAAACCAAAAACAAAAGGAAAAAGAAAGAAAAAATCTATATATATATATAAATAGAAAAAGAGAAAATACAAAAATACAAAAGTAAAAAACAATAACAATAAAAAGGAGAAAATGGGAGAAAGTAATGAAAATGGGAAAATAAAAAGAATATAAAATTCCTTTAGAGTAGAGAAAACTTTTCTAGGTCCTTGAATAAAATTGGGTGCCACTAGTTAGTAATTCAACATGTTCTTTTTTCTTTTTAAATTAAAAAGAAAACTGATATGAAGTGAAATGAAAGATGATTAAAAGGAATAATTTGTTTTTTCCTATTTCAAACTTAAATAAATTGCTTAGTGCTTCGAGTCAAGTCTTTTTTCCCTTAGGCTAAGTTTGGAAGGAGTACAAATACAAATATGTACAGTACAAATACATACAAAATGCAAGGTTTTGCACTCTACATATTTTTATTTGTACTCCTTCCAATCTAAGCCTTAGTCTTTAATGTGTTTTGGAAATATTTTCCTAAATTTTAAGATTTTCATGATAGAGGTCCACCTTGTTTGCATCACATTGCATTTTGCATTCCTTTCTAGCCACAAAGCAATCTTGACCCATGGGGAAGAGAGGAGAGATAGAGTGAGAGAGATCTTCTAAGAAACCCTAGGGTTTTAGTATTATGTTGTAGTCAAATGTGGGAGGAGAGTTATTCCCTCTTTTTATGGGAAGGACCCTAAGGTTGTAAGGAGAAAGATCTAAAATGAGACATTTCCTATTAGGAAAGGGGGTCTCTATCTTTATGTTGGCTATTAAGGAAGCATCATTAGGATTTCGCCAAATGTCTAACGAGATTCTTTAAAGGCAAAGTTTTCTTTCTCCTAAGGATTCTTGCGTGTCACATGTAGGATACGTCCCCTTACGGGTTTCCCTATGGCTACGTGTTAAGGACAAGATTTGAATATGATTGGCATACTTAGGTATTTTTTCAATTGAATTAGGGGTGCCTTGTCATAGGTCATTGTAACCAGAAAGAATGATTATCTCCCGTAGGCGGGTGTCACCAGCCTTGGGGTTTGTCCACCATTTATTATAGCATGGACTGTCATTTTGTGCCATCGCAAAGTGTTAGTTGTGTATTGAGTTTGTCTTGGACTGGCGGTGTTATTTTATGTCCATCACAAGCCTCGGGTGACGCCCATTGCTCATTGTAGGTCATAAGAGGTGTTTTATGCTCATCACAGGTTCTAAGAGGTGTTTTGCGCTCATCGTAAGTGTATGAGATTTCCATCATTTTGATAGTGTTTTTGTATCATTACAAGGGTATCCCGATCGAAATTCCTCCATATGGTTTTCCTTTGGCATCCTCGCCATAATCAAGGTGATGGAAAACTACATATGCTAACAATTAGCCCCCTACTTATTGATAAGAGTGTTCTTGTCAATAAGCATCCTTTGCATTTTTATTGTCTCGTCTGGTGTCATGTATTTGATTAAATGATTATAATGGGGGAGTTAATTGATAATGGTGATTCTATGTTCTATTAACGGGCATGGCTAGGCCTAGTTATTAAGATTGGACTTCTCTTTGTTGGTGTTGTTGCACCGACTTATAGTTGTTTTGTAGGTCGTTTGAGTCACACATACAAAGTACGTGTTGAAGGTGTAAGTGATGATGAAACTGTATGGGCGTTTCTTGAGGTGTAGCTTAGTGTTTCTTTTAATTTAGCCCCTTATTTCTTGATAGAAGGCCTTTTGTCAAGAAACATTTTTGTTATGACTTGCCATTTTAAGTATACAGCCCCCTATTTCTTGATAGAAGTCGTTCTATCAAGAAACATTCGAGAGAGAAAAGGTCAAGTTTAGTTTGCAACCCCTTAGTTAAATTCTTCCGGGGTTGGGTTGAGCATGTTTTGTTGAGAGGTATATAGAATCTTAAGCACATGGATACATGCTTAAAATTGTTGGGACACCCAAATGATCACACAGTACTGTCAATAAGAATATGTTGTGAAGTCAATGTGATTGATGTGTTATTGGTAGAGTAGTTGGTGGGTTTCCAAAAGTAGAAAAGGTTTGAAGATAGTTTAAAGTATTAAGACTCTTGCATATATGGCACACAAGTTATGTGATAGGAAGCCCCCTATTTAGTATACAGAATTTTGGAAGGAACATAAAATTATTCTTGTGATGTAATTTGAGCTTTTGTTGCTATTGCTTTGTTATAGCATGCTGATAATCCTGTAATGATAATATCACAAGTCATGATGTGCATATGTATTTTTATATGAACTATGATGTGGAATATATGGTGATGTAGTTTGGTCAATGTATTGAAAGATTAACAGTCAATTAAAAGAGTGCTTTCTTCGCTAATTTTGGCGAAAGATGGACGATGTCGAAGCTCACTAGTGTCAAGTTCTTGTGTAACTGTAAGCTTTGTGGTAATAAAATATTCATGTTTGTTTGCGATAAAGGCAAAGATAAGGTGAATCACTAGTGCCTAGGACTAGTTACCTTAAGCTTCATAAGTAATGTGCAATGCCTAGGGCTGCCAAGGCTTTGTGAGAAACTTGTCTAGGTTTGCCAGGGTTTTATGATATGAGCACCTAGGGTTCCTAGGGCCTTCCCGGAGTTGCCAGGGAATTGAGATGTGCGCTTGGGGTTGTTAGGGAATTGTGATGTGCGCCTGGGGTTTCTAGGGAACTGAGATGTGTGCCTGGGATTGCTAGGAACTTCCTAGGGTTGCTAGGGATCTATGATGTGCACCTGGGGTTGCCAGGGCCTTCTTGGGGTTTTTAGGGAATTGAGGTGTGCACCTGGGGTTGCTAGGGCCTTCCTAGGGTTTTTAGGGAATTGAGATGTACATGGGGTTGATAGGGAACTGTGATGCGCTTGGGGTTGTCAGGGCCTTCTTGGGGTTGCCAAGGCCTTCCTAGGGTTGCCAAGGAATTGAGATGCACCTAAGGTTGTCAGGACCTTCCTAGGGTTGCCAAGGAACTAAGATGTGCCTAGGTCGCTAGGGCCTTCTTGGGGTTGCTAGGGAATTGAGATGTGCCAGGAGTTGCTAAGGCCTTCCTAGAATTGCCAGGGAATTGAGATGAGAACCTGGGTTGCCAGGACTTATTACAACCAGGGTATTAGCGTGGAGGTGGTGCCTAGGTTTGATAGATCAGGCCTGTAATGAATAAGTTGCATTAGTGATTAGCGCTTGTTACTTAAGACTTTTGCATGATGCTACAAAGAACACATTAATGAACTGCAAGATATGTGACGAAAGCGTAAAATATTCTTGTTTGAAACTTATTTTTAAATCCCTAAATAAATTTGGAATCGTGCAAAGCAAAGAAGATTAATGTTTTGAAAACATGGTTTTGAGAAACAATAGTGGTAATACTATTTTCAAATAGTGTGCTTTGAAGATTATTTAGAAAACATTCTTTCAATTAGAAAACCCAGCGGCAGTTTTAGCAAAGCCTAAATTATGCACTTGTGCTATCTTTTTAATATTAACGAGTTGATTTTATTAGAATAAATGTTGAATCCAGAGGCAGAGGAATAGTTTCTTCAAAATCCAAAAGGTGCATATACATTGTACCATAAAATCATCCAAAAGTGTGATTTCATTGACGTTTTTTAGCAAGAAAGTCAGCATTATCATTGCTTACTACAAGCACAACCTAAAAGTTGACTTAACTGGTAACTACTCTGAAATGTTGAATCAGTGGTGAAGAAATGGTTCTATCAAATAACTCTTTGGAGTAGTAGCTTCTCTATGCTTTTTGCATTTACTCATGTGTTAATGCACGATTATCATGAGACCATTGATGTGATCATTATAATTACTATTAATTATTAGGCTGGGTGGATTTGTTTCCCAAGAAAAATGTTTATTCAATAGTTTAGCCAAAAGGAAACCAATTCTGTAGAATTGCATATGTTAGTGTTTATCATAACTAGAAAAGCTCATAATTGAATTCATATAATGTGATCCAAGATGCAAAGAGCAATCCAGAATCTCTACCATAATGATCCTCTCAACTCCAGATGGAACAAACAACCAACTAAACAAGATAAAACTGATTAAAACAACCAACTCACCCAAAACAAACTTTCCAAGTGGTAGT